ACAAACAACATGCAAATATCTGATGAGCACGTCTCGTCCTTGTACGTGACTAGCATTCAAAAATGCCTCAGCTTTTCCAGAAGATGCAACATTGGCTTGTGCCAGCACGGTTGTCCAACCAGATCCTTCTAGCCAATCTCCAATGGTCTTAAACGTTGCCATTTCAATATAAAGTCCACCGAACATTACTATGAACTTGTTTTCACCGTAGAGTTCTGGCCAATTCCATTAAATTTGCTTAGTCAATGCAAACAGAGGTTGGTCAAACGCTATGACTGGATTATGACCAGGATTCAACGCATCGACACTAGCTAGTCTTTATAACAAACACCAAATGAGTGCTTTATCATTGCCACATATTTAGCCTCCTCTTTGATGCAGTTATGTTGAGTAATACGCTATAAACACACTTTTCGTTGAAATTGACTTGAATAGGAGATGATGTCCGCCATTTTGGATTTTACCGGAAGTGAGACATTTTTTTCAAATGCCTCCCTTTCTGAATTAAAAGAGTAATGGTTGAGGAAGGTTTATGCCAAATTTCATGCTTTTAGCAGGATGTGCACAATTCTTCTGAAATAAGCTTGTAGCAGCTGCACTAATGGTTGCAAACAAATTTTGAGGCGTCTGTTTCTTTCGTATTTGCTCAAAACCCTACTGAAACCAGGTTTTCGTTAATAAAACACCACACTTAATTTATGTTATTCGTCTAGTGTGATCATGTATGCTCATAGTATATCAACAGAAAAAAAAAATCAAATGTGTGAGGTTTATAAAATATGTTCTCCTGAGATGGGGGAAGTGGGGGGGGGGGGGGGGGGGGGGGGGGGGGGATTGTGGCTGAAAGTTGAAACATTGCTATCGCCACATATATCGTAGATATTAATAGTGGGAGTGTCAATATTTATGAAAATAAAGATTTGTCTCCACGAAATTTTAGCAAGAGTGATTCTAAATCGCAGTCGATAGATCTTTAACCAATTAATTTGCAAATATTATGATTACTTCATTTAGGATTGTAAGTTACACAATTTAAATCCGAGATTTCTGCATTCTGTTTTTTTTAGAAATTCCCCATATTTACGATTAAAGAACAATTCATTCTTCAAGAAGTACATTTTAAATTTGGAAAATGTACTTTCTCATATTGGTTAGAATGTGTACTTTGTTTGATAGATATGGCGAATTCCAATCCTTTTCTTTATTAGTTTCGTGTTTATTTCAGACATTAAATACAATTAATCTTGTTGATTTCACTACATATTTAAATCAAAGTTTATAGCTTGACAATTACTTGTAAACATCCGTCATGAATATGTAAGGTGAGTATAAATTTAAAAAAAAATTACATAACATAAGGGTTTAAAATGGTAAAAGTAAATCCCCGAAAATATTTACAGAATGTTTTAGGTCTAGGATACAGGAATATGATAAACAAACAACATTATTAATGTAATTTGATGAAACTCAACGTACAAGAACATCGAAGATTGGTCGCCAATACTGGTCTAAAGAAAACAAACACAAATGCTAACAATAGTTAAAATAAAACGGATAAAATTACAGACTGAGAAAAATACCGCATAAATACAGGAGCAATAAAAACGTTCGATTACGATTTTAGTCTCACGACACGGGTATCTGAAGTTACATTTCAACAAGTTCGCTCGAAGTTAAATGTGAAATCAAGCATTTTCATGTGCATCGGAAGTATGAGCAGTTGCTATTCCAATACTGTTATCCGACGTATTGCTTATATCATAAAAAAAAAGAAATTTGGAATAGTTAATAAGAGGGATATATACATCCGAAACAAAAAGATGACTAAAAAAACTTGAGTAGTTACAAGCAAACAACGATCCTTCTTTACGGAAGTTCTATTAAGAAACACATAATTATGCTTTGATATTTCGAAACAATGTTTAGAAATTAAATATTATGTATGTGGCGGGGAACAATTTAAAACATACTTTATTAACAAAATTTTAGAATAAGATAATTAATATATGCAGTTGTGCATCACATGTATAATATCCTGCAAATTTCTTTGTTTTGATACATTCAATATCGCGAAATTATACTCGCTAAATGATCCAAATGGTCTTAAAATAGCTAAGGTATATCTCCATCTCAACTTACTTTTACTTATTAAACAATAAAAATACGTTGGTCTGTTTAGACCTTGATACCAAAATATCTCACGGTTATAAAAACCAACGAGACGACTTTACTTTCATATTGATGACTCTCTTTGATTTATGTTGACTTTCCGTGACATCTGTTTATGTGATGTATACTTTTGAGTTTGTTGATTTTTAGGCTTTTGAAGAACGTTTTGTTTTGAATACTGATACGTTTTACGCCAGGGATATTGAATTCACAAATTGTTTAACATCTTAAATAATGCAACCATTAATATCGAGATTTATTGTGAAAGTGTAACTCGACTTGTAGATGAATATACCAGTTCTTGCATACGAAACGCTTTTCTGGATTCCCTTCATCAGGAACGCTCATATCCAATCATTTAAAAGCCTTTTGGTCTGTTTTCATTCAACCGTTTAAGATTGGAACGGGGGTTTTGTGTCATTATGACATCTTTGCTTGTAAAATTGGCCTATGTTTTACGACGTTCTTTTGCAAGCGTTTTCATTCAATACTTATAATGATTACTGAATTTGAATTTCATGGTATATCAGGACAAATTCGAAACCTTTACTAACATACTTCTTTGCATTGTCAATGGAATTTTTTAATGTTTTCAAACTGGTATAATACCACAACAATTAGTCATGTTCAAAATAGGGAGAATATATTAAGGTGGCAATTAAAATCAATAATTAAAACAAACAACAGGAAGACCGAAGGAATACGAAAAAAAAAGCCAACTAGGTTAACCCATGTATTCTAAAAAGAAAAGTGGTTAAGGCTACATTAGTTGCAACAAGTGTTATTCAAAATCGGGGAGAAGATACCTGGGGATGGGACAGTGAACAACCATTAGTCCTAAAAGTTCAAAATTGAATGAAAACTGACAATACTATGATCAAATCTAAAAAAATAAAAGGACGTAAATTGATCAAAAAACAACACACATGTCAAATTTTGAAATTAAAATATACTGAATGATATTTTTCTTTGGCAAATGAAATATATGTCTGTTAGGTAGCGATAGTATTCCACGACAACTTCAACATTTTAAATATTAATAACTCTCATGTTAACATAAAAAAGACGAATCGTATTTGTTCCATTGTTTTTGTCTTATTATAGGCTGTCTGTCTGACTCAAAATATGCCTATCTATAAAGTGTTAATTATTGTATCAGCAATAGTAGTGGCAGTGCAAAGCAGTGGTAACATTGAAGTTTGTTGAAATTATGCAATAGTACCTACATGTTTCAGCAAGTATTTTGCGTTTGCTCTACATTTATGTTTGCATGAATAAGGTGAAAACATAAATCATAAGTTTCATTCTGCTTTAATCAAACTATGGTCTCAATCAATTTACATACCTGTATCCGTACAGTATATATGCAATATCTGTTCAAGTTCAGAACTGTTTATTTTGCTTTGTTCTTTCTACAAAAACGGGATTAAAAGTTGATGCATACTACATTAAGGGGTAAAATCCATGTTTTCCCGTATAGTAATTAGGAACATAATATTATTTTTCAGACCTATCGAATCAACGCCAAGGTTCCGGGAGGAAGTATCAATGAAGACATTGTTGTGGACTCAGATAAACATCTGATGACAGTTAATGTTGGGAATGTGTACCACTTTCAGTCTGACTGTCCGTCTACAATTAATCTTCATGACTTTGAAAAGGTTATTTCTACCGTTTATGTGCATTTGTTTCTAGTAGAGTCAAGATTTCTAAAAAGTAGAACCAAAAACAAACCCTCAAAAATACTATTTATAGATGAGTTACCGACCACCATAGGAATAGTTATTTTTGAATAAAAGCCTAGTGGCCATGATAAACAAAATGAATATTTGATATAAATCCATTCACTAGAATAAGGATGCTCGGCATGTAGAAAATATCAAATATAAAAATATTCCATAGCTTGCGACGAGCTGATAACAAGGCCTTATACAATAATAAAGACAATTAAGAAAATAGTTTCTGCCTGTCAATATTATTGAGGTCATCTTGGACATCACTGATTGCATATATTGCGTTTTTCCTTTACTCAAAATCACAACGTAAATATATTTTACGGGTATTTACTGTACAATGATAACATCATTCAAAACATCAAGTATTTTGTTTTTCCCCAGTCATAGGCGGTCTTAGCTATATTTGACACAACGTTATGGAAATTTTTGCTCTACTTATGTAGGTCGTTATTGATTTGGCTTTCTACTAGTTTCAATTTGCAGCATCTGAAAAAAAGTATTATGTTGACTCGTATATCGTATTAATTATAAATCGGGTATCTCCGATGAATTTTTACTATCACTGGGTAGATGCCCCACTTCTGGTGGACGTTTCGACCCGGAGGATTTTACCAGCCCAGTACTCAGTTCTCATATTCTGATAGGAACTGTCATTAATACGGTCATATTCTGTAAATAAACTGTTAATACAAGGATGAAATCATTCAAAATATTATTATTTTTTTTTACCCATGGCATAGATGGTCTGAGGCAGATTTGGCATGACTCATTCGAATTGTTTGTATCAATGCTCTTCAACTTCTTAATTGATATGCTATTGTATTGATTTGAGCGCGATTAATATAGTGTATTATACTGACGAAACGAGCGTTTTTTGCATTAAATCATTTGTGTGCTATCTTCAATGAGTTTTTACAAACCAATTACGCAAATATAGTTTGCAGGGTAACAAAGTCAATCTACCGAAAGCCACTGTATTTTTACAAATGTACTATCATAACAAAGCTCATTCGATACACAAACGGTGTTAAAGGTTAGTATTCTTTTCTTTAAATTTTAGGGAAAACTTGCAATGAAGAATATAGATTGGGGTGAATGTCTTGTAATGGATACCAAGAAAATCTCAACGCAACAATAGATTTGCTTGACAAAATTACAAGGTGATTTAGTTTATCAACTTAATTATTTTCGACATACCTGTCAATGTTTATGTCATTTGGGCAAATTCTTGTTTTCTACTGAAAGATTAAGGAAGGGAAAAGGAACAATTTGACAAAAAATTACTTTGCAGAAGTAAAGACAAAATGCAAGGTCAGAGAATAATTCAGAATTAACTGCCAAACAGATAATCTTAAAATTCTACGTTTCGCTTTTGTCCTGTTTGCTGTATACGTATGGATTATCATTATTTCACTATATGTTTAAGAAAATGGCTGTGATGACAATGACAACCAATCTTTAATTTTTTTCTATTTTATTCTCATACATTGACCATAGAGGTGATCTTTGTTTGTATGCAGTTAGCGTGTTGAGAATATTTAAGCTATCAGTTGTTTTAAATCTTATTTACATTTACCTGCCAAAATATTCTTGGGTTTTTTTTTTTTTTTTCTTTTCTCTGTAACATTAATATTTGCATGGATGGAGAAAATGCATTTAACAAATTTAAAAGTGAAAGTTTTATAAAGAAGACTCAATTTGAATTTTTGAAATATTCTATTTTAAAGATCTTTGATATGTTTTTCTATTTCTTATTTATCAAATTGAACTATAAAAATATAGAAAGGATTGTAAGATAAAATGTGATAATGACGAAATATTTTGTTCGTAAACTTTAAACATTGCAAAACTTGATAACATTTTAGATTGAAAATGACTCATAACTTTGAAGCAGAAAAAACTGGTAAAAGTTTATTCCACAACATACGATAGGGTTCTCGAAGAAGCTGGAGAGCATATTATAGAGTTGTGTAAAGGATACGAACTTTTCTATGGAGAAATAATTGATCATCAAGAAGGTAAGATTTATTTTTTTTAAGTTTATACTGCATTACTTTTTCTGTTTCAAAGTTTTATATATTCATTTTAATTGTTATACTAGTAAATAACATATTTAACAAGAAAGATGATTCTTAAATTCATTTAACAAAGTGTAATGCACGTTTTCCACTGTGTTGTTAAATGGCGGGATGTAATTGAAATATTGTTACAAGTTAGTAGAAAAAAGTACTCGGAGGAGACAAAATGAGTATTTTAAACCCCTGAGTCGACAAAACACTGACAACGCTATGGCAGGAAACATCGACAGACAACAAATACACAAATAAATGCAAAAAAGTAACATGAAAAAAAAAAAGACGAAGCAACACGAACCCCATCAAAAACTAGGGCTGATCTAAGGTGCTGATCCGTACGGGTGAGCAAATCCTGCTCTACTAGCGACACTGGTCATTTTGCTCGTGGTCAGTACACATTCGGTAATAAGTCTCATGAGATGATGTCACAATCGAAGAAAAGAGGTCTGCATTGGAGTAACGATAATTGGAATATCTTGGACACAAACATTCCATTCCATAACGGTCAACCAACTCATGATGGCGTGCGTAAAAGAGAGGCGAAAGATACCAAAGGGACATTCAAACTCATAAGTTGAACATAAACTGACAACACCATTGATAAAAAAGAAAAAGACCAACAGATAATCAATAGTACACAAAACACAACATAGAAAACTAAAGACTGAGCAACACCAAAAACTGGGGGTGATCTCAGGTGCTCCGGAAGGGAAAGAAGATCCTGCTCCACATGTGGCACCCGTCGTGTTGCTCATCTTAGAACAAACCCGGTAGTAAGTCTTATTCGGTAGGTCACTTTGGGAAAAGGGGCGGGATTGTAGTAACGACATTAAGAACATATCCGCTATCATTTGTAAAACAGATATTTCATAACGGTAAACCAACTCGTGATGGCGTTCGTAAAATTTACGAAGGAATGATTTCAACTTCGCCACTTGGAACTCTTGGTTTAATAGCATCCTTGTGAGCAGCAACCCTCTATCAAGGAAATCATGATAGGAAAAACAAGCCCTAGAATATCGTATCAACTTGGAGATATATACTCCGTATGCAGGCGCTGCTGGAATGTTGCTACATAGAAATGAAAAGTTCACAATTGGGAAGATGAAATCATCTCTTTTGTCGTAAAGCTTTGTTTTCAACCGACCCTCATTGTCAATTTCTAGATGTAAGTCGAGATATGAGGCAGACTTAACTGTATCTGTTGTATCCTTTATCTCAAGTCCGATGGGATAGATGCGTTTAACATAGTCGCCAAATTTTGAATTATTTAGTAAGAGAACATCATCTATATAGCAAAAAGTAAAAGTTAAAGGATACTGCTAACTTCTTTTCTTTCTTTCTAAGAAGTTCCATTAATGAAATCAGCCTCATGTGAATAAAGGAACAAGTCGGCAAGAAAATGGGCACAGTTAGTTCCTATGGGAATGCCGATTGTTTGTTGAAAAACACGTCCTCCAAACGTTACAAATATGTTGTCAATCAAGAAATCAAGCATCTTAATAATGTCAATTTCAGAGAATTTTTGTTTGAATCAGCGTCCGTAGGGATGACTTCAACTTTTCCACTTTGAACCCTTGGTTAATAGCTTCCTTGTTCACAATTGAGAAGCTGAAATCATCTATTTTGTAGTAAAATATTGTTCTCATATGACACGCATTGTCGCCAAACTTTGAATCTTTTTGTGAGAATATATCATCTATGTATTTGAACGTAAAGTTAAGGGATAATATTAAAGTCCAAAATAGAGTGGCTTTTATCTTTCATAAAAGAAGATGTTTCTAATGTTACTGAAAGCAAAACCACTGATAGAATGCTATGTTTGCCCCACTTAATGTGAATTTAGTAATCATACTTCATTAACTAACGAATCGGAAATTTCTTGAAATATTATGGATATGAATTATATTCAACCAAAAATACATTGTTCAGCATCTTACAATTCTGTTTGGTCATAAGAAAGAGCTTCGAATACATGATTCTATTACTGTTTATATTATGAAATTTATCTATTTGTATATTTCAGTGAACAAGTTTAAGCATCGTAAGTTGTTAATATTAACTTAATCCAGTTAAAACCAGATGGATCCCAAAACTTTGGTATTTTGTTGATTATTCTTTAAGTTACTACGATTAATATAATAACTTGTGTACATAAACAGAAAACATATATCAATTTTGAATATATGTGCTTTCTTGTGTTATACATAGTTCACAAAGCTAATTCTTTGTTAACTATTTTTTTTTTCAAAACAGGAACTGTGGACTAGAAGTGACAAATGTACTTGCTTTATGAATGTTTTGAATGGATAATCGTTTCAAACAGTAGGTTTTCAAATATCTATAACTCAATTCAATTCAACATCATACCTAGTAAGTTCCAGTACAATTTTCACAGGAACATTATAGCCAATATCAAGCTTTTTTAAGAATAAATGTTGAATTGTTATATCTTTTAATTAAATGTTGGATAGTTTTTTTTTACATTTCTACCACATCTTTAAATATTTGGATTCAAAGAGGAAACGCAACTACCGTTTTAAAATTTATTCCTTCACTCTTATAAATCCACGCCTTTGGGTAAATTTGATCTTAAATGGATTTGGCTTTTTAGGTCCCTTTTTGTCATATAGTCCTTCGTCTATGCATGTATCTATACATTATTTGCTTCTCACTGTTTGTTGCCTCAAGAGCTAGGACAGCCACATTGGAGTTGTTTAGGATGATGCATTAACTTGTCATAGATACTTATTGCATTACATTTAGATACTATTTCAAGTGTACACCAATATATGCTTTAAGAACGAAAGGTGCCGCATAAAAACATATAAAACATCAACCGGGTCCAACTTCTCTTCATTGTGTTGAAAATCATGACCTTAGCATTATACTATTTTTAGAAGAGTGTTTTATAAATTAACAATGACAATCCAATACCCGATTATATAAATCGAATCCTTAATAGAAGGGAAGCATAAAAAGACAAAAACTATACCTAAAACGTAGCACAGAAAAGTGAATTCTAAAACACTTGGTGGTAAATCCTAGCTATAGCTTGGAAAAGCAAGTAGGTCCGACATCGCACTTTAGCAAACGTGTGATAAAATCGAGAAACATATATTTTTGTGTTTGTTTTTTTTAATTGCAGGAGTGAAGCTTCGAGATAAAAAGAAAAGCGGAGGTATATGTTTGTTATGCCTAGTAAAACTATTTAATTACATGTGATGTGAAAACTACAATATCAGTGTACCATTTGTTCCATTAATTTGTTTTGAAAATTGAAGGTAGAATTCAGTTCAGCAATCTTCCTTAGCAGACTTTATTTGATTTTAATTACTGTTAAAGACTTTGTTATCAGAATTAAAAAAAAAATCATTATCAGAAAGTGTTTGAAATGCATGTGTTCGAGTTATCTCTTGTAGTCTCAACTACTTTTTCAGGTTGTTCTGGGTTTTGCTTCATTTGCTTTATCAGAAGAAAATCAGAAGTAAGTGGCAACCTGCTCCTAGCGCTGCCTTAGCTGCTCTTAGTGCTTGCCGTGTTCACGGGGAAGTAAGTGGCGAAGCTGCTCCTAGCGCTGCCTAGGCTGCTCCTAGTGCTGCCCGTGTTCACGGGGAAGTAAGTGGCGAAGCTGCTCCTAGCGCTGCCTAGGCTGCTTCTAGTGCTGGCCGTGTTCACGGAGAAGTAAGTGGCGAAGCTGCTCCTAGCGCTGCCTACGCTGCTTCTAATGCTGGCCGTGTTCACGGGGAAGTAAGTGGCAACGCTGCCCTTGGTGCTGACCGTGTTCACGGGGAAGTTAGTGGCGAAGCTGCTCCTAGCGCTGCCTTAGCTGCTCCTAGTGCTGGTCGTGTTCACGAGGAAGTAAGTGGCGAAGCTGCTCCTAGCGCTGCTTTAGCTGCTCCTAGTGCTGGCCGTGTTCACGGGGAAGTAAGTGGCGAAGCTGTTCCTAGCGCCGCCTTAGCTGCTCCTAGTGCTGGCCGTGTTCACGGGGAAGTAAGTGGCGAAGCTACTTCTAGTGCTGCCTTAGCTGCTCCTAGTGCTGGCCGTGTTCACGGAGAAGTAAGTGGCAAAGCTGCTCCTAGTGCTGCCTTAGCTGCTCCTAGTGCTGGCCGTGTTCACGGAGAAGTAAGTGGCAAAGCTGCTCCTAGCGCTGCCTAGGCTGCTTCTAGTGCTGGCTGTGTTCACGGAGAAGTAAGTGGCGAAGCTGCTCCTAGCGCTGCCTACGCTGCTTCTAATGCTGGCCGTGTTCACGGGGAAGTAAGTGGCAACGCTGCCCTTGGTGCTGGCCGTGTTCACGGGGAAGTTAGTGGCGAAGCTGCTCCTAGCGCTGCCTTAGCTGCTCCTAGTGCTGGTCGTGTTCACGAGGAAGTAAGTGGCGAAGCTGCTCCTAGCGCTGCTTTAGCTGCTCCTAGTGCTGGCCGTGTTCACGGGGAAGTAAGTGGCGAAGCTGTTCCTAGCGCCGCCTTAGCTGCTCCTAGTGCTGGCCGTGTTCACGGGGAAGTAAGTGGCGAAGCTACTTCTAGTGCTGCCTTAGCTGCTCCTAGTGCTGGCCGTGTTCACGGAGAAGTAAGTGGCAAAGCTGCTCCTAGTGCTGCCTTAGCTGCTCCTAGTGCTGGCCGTGTTCACGGAGAAGTAAGTGGCAAAGCTGCTCCTAGCGCTGCCATAGCTGCTCCTAGTGCTGGCCGTGTTCACGGGGAAGTAAGTGGCGAAGCTGCTTCTAGTGCTGCCATAGCTGCTCCTATTGCTGGCCGTGTTCACGGGGAAGTTAGTGGCGAAGCTGCTCCTAGCGCTGCCTTAGCTGCTCCTAGTGCTGGCCGTGTTCACGGGGAAGTAAGTGCCGAAGCTGCTCCTAGTGCTGCCTAAGCTGCTCCTAGCGCTGGCCAAGTTCACGGGGAAAAATGATGATGTATTTGGTATTGTGATTTTGTATTTGTATACATTAGAATTTAGTTTTATGAATGACTATGTATCGGTAATTAACGAAAATACGTCACAAATATCGTGTTCTAGTTAGAGCACAATTTGACTGTAATTATTTCCGTTGACAACTTGCCTGAGCTATAGATAATTTATAGAGCTTTGAACATTTAGTATTAAAGCAAAATGGAATAAAAAGTGTTTTCCCGACTTTAGTATTTCTGGAATTATCTTGTCAGGTACGCCAAAGACGAAACGTTTGGTAATATACGGACCAGTTTACATCTTTCAGACAAAATTAATTTGTGTTGACTATCCCTGTGGGGGTTCTTTTTAGTTATGATTATTATTGTAAAGATTGTTCTCAGTCTTTATTTCAACAATAGTTTGTAGATACTCAATCTATGCAAAATACCTTTGCCAGTATTTTCTAACAAAATAATAATTACATTATCTCCAGGAAATAGAAATTATATTAACATTAAATCAATGCAAAAAATAGAAGTACAATACATATGTTTAAACGGTTTTTTGATATAGGTGTTTGTATGTCAAAGCATTTACATATAGGTATCCGTGATGATCAGTTCAAATTCGTTTTAACAGTTCGAAATCCCCTTCTTATATGACCAAGCACACTTATCATTGCGTGTAAGAAAATAGGTCGCTAACGTGCAAGGCTTATCATGTATATCACTTTCAATACGTACATAAACATAGGATTATATAGAAAGTAAGCACAATTTAATTCGCTTCAATAAGCAATATAAAAAGGACAAAAAGCAGTTACTAATAAAACGTAGAATTAAATACAAGTTCGAAAAACAAAAGATGTTATGCGTATGCCACAAGTTGGCGGAATTTCGTAACGCTAATCGGCAGCTGTCAAATTTGCCAGTAACGACGTTACTTTCACACAGGGATCGCCACGCATAATATAACGTTCACAACAATTATCAGGTAATCGGACAAAAATATTGTGAAACATGACAACTATCTTGTAACTACATTTGTACTTCTTGTTTGCACCACAATTATCAAGTTAAAGAGTTATTCTCCTAACATGACGATTTTAGGCTAATTTTCATGTTTTGCATATTAACCCAAAACAATATTAGATAGGTAGACACTGGTATGGCAAACATGATCAGCACTACAAGATCTACAAAAGTGTTAATCTGACCGAAACCATTGGATAACTCCTTCAAGAGTTATTGCAGGTAAATGATGATTTTTGATTAATTTTAGTGTTTTAACGTATTATCTCAAAAACGATAATCGATAGGTAGAAACTGTAATTTGTAAACAACAAAAATAATAAGAAAAATTAGATATACAAAAATGTCAATACAACAAAAGAAATACCAATAATAGGCAACTCGTAAATTAGTCAAAAATCGTCATTTGGTCTCCTGTGGGATGCAATCTCATTAGCAATCATACCACATCTATTTGTTTCTATACTAATACGATAGTAACATATTAGAATACATCTCAGAGTTCTGAACTATTTTAAAACTGGCTACAAAAGAAAATAAACATAACTAAGTTAATTTCATTAAACATCTTCAAAACGAAAACTGTTTTCACATTTACATTTCGACTTAAGCCAGGAAGCAACCTCTAATTTCTTAAACAGCACATAAGAATGAAACATGCAGTTGTTGTCTCCTATTTGAAAATTGTAATTTTATCTTTCAGAAAAAAATTCTATCACAAAAATTATGCCCAACATTAAACAACAGCTATCCATTATATTTTTCTACATCTAATGTAAAAACAAGACTAATATCTTGTACACTTAGTGTTGTTATATTTCTAACTATCGGCAAACAGGAAGACATGCACGGCAGATGTAATAATTGCTTTAATGCTACAACTCAACATTTTCAAGCTCCAGACCAAATATATAATTGTTTGCTTCCATACAAGCCACGACGAACATGTCCAATGTACAATGAGTGTTGTAAAATTTCAAACTATCAGCAAACAGGAATTAGCTGTACGGCAGATCTGAAAATTGCTAATACCATACAACATAACATTATCAAGATGCAGACCAAACATAAAATTATTCGCTTACATAGTAGCCAAGAAAATATTGACGAAAAATGTCAATATACAATAGTGTTGTGAAATTGCAAACTATCGACAAACAGGAAGTAGCTGTACGGTAGATATAAAATTGCTTAAACGCTACAACTCAACATAATCATTCTGTAAACCAAATATAAAACTATTCCATTTAAACAGAAGCCAAGACATCGTTGACGAAAGTTTCTTAACCACGGTCTCGAGCGGTAACTAACCATGATCTTTCGCAGTTGGCGTCACAAGTAAAAACAAAAGAACAATCATGCATCTCTAAATACTCATTATCTGATCTGTCAAACCAAACATGCAATCACGATTGAATTTTGTTAAAGAAAGGAACATATAAATGAACCAAAATTTAAAAACATACAAGACTAACAAAGGCCAGAGGTTCCTGACTTGGGACAGGCGCAAAACAGTGTCAGGGTTAAACATGTTTTGTGAGATCTCAACTCTTCCCCTATACATCTAGCCAATGTGGAATAAACAAACACACAGCAATACGCACAGTAAATTCAGTTTAAAAGAAGTCCGAGTCCAATGTCAAAATAGGTAACAGAAGAAAGGAAGCCAAATGACAATAATTAAGCATTGTAAGGGTATATTTAACTTTTGTTTTCAAAATAATTTATGTTTAATAATAATTTTTTATCACTAATCATAATATAATTTTTTCCGGCTTCGATTTAACGTCCTACAAAAAAGTATCTGGTGTTCACTCTTTACATCATATTCACGGGTAATGAACATGTATGGTCACAATCGAGGAAAAAAAACACTTGACAAAACACCTACCAAGCTGGACACTATGGAACGCCAAAATTGTCTGGTTATGTTCATTTTCATTATATAGGTTGAAATCACCTTTATATGAAGTGGATATAAAATTCTATTAAATGGACACGACATTATATGATGTGTAGTTGTCATTATCGGTCCGTGTATATTTGCGTCCATTCGTTTTTCATTTTGAAATATCAAAAACAAAAACAAAAAACGAGAGTGTTTTTATTTTTCGTTTTTGATTTCTCAAAAACCAAAACGAAAAACAAAAGTGTTCTCGTTTTTCGTTTTTGATTTCTCTAAAACCAAAACGGAAAACGAAAGTGTTTTCATTTTTTGTTTTTGATTTCTCTAAAACCAAAATGAAAATCAAACGTGTTTCCGTTTTTCGTTTTTGATTTCACTAATGATGAATTTTGAATGTAATTTCATTATTCTCGTTTTATTATGTACAATGATTTCCTTTCTTGTTTCACAGTCATTGATAGTAAATAATGCCAATGTAAACACCCCGGTGTTCTTTCAACATAATGTAGACAAAATAGACCGCCTGACTTATGAATTGAACTACGGTGATAAATGAATCAAAGCCTTTCAAATTACCTTGTTTATATCTTTACTAAAAAGAAAATATATATTTAAATATTAAACGAATCATAAATTTAAATTGTACAATATAATATTATATAAAGATGGTACAAATAGATAGATTGATTACAACATCACATTAACAAGGGAGGTTACTACTTTTAAAACTGATAAGAAAACTAGCCCAGTCGTTAAGTATACATGCACAGCGGTTATCAGATCTATAGTATTTTTAAATCGAAGTTGATGTCGACGGATGCAAAAGTCTTTATCAATTTGAACAATAAGGGTGCGTGATCTTTTATTTTAAGTTTAGAAAGGTTGATCTAAGATGATAAGACATGCCGTATCTAGCCTCTATTACAAGTGAAGCAAAATATATTTTGGGCGAGGGGTCTAGGGCTCAAGGCCCCCAAAAGATCTAGAAAAAATGACGCAAAATCGTGCATTTGAACGTTTCTTTCGGACCTTTTCTTAATCTAAAACGCAAGTTTTGTTTTATTTATTTTTTCGACAATATATCAAAATATATAGATTCAGTGTAAGACTTTTAGTATTTAGGGACAATATCAAAAGACATATGTAGGATAAAGCAAAACATTGTAATCCACATAGTCAGGTGTGTGGTTGTTGTTTTTAGGGTATGAATGGTTCGTTGCCTCGTTGAAGACCCTCCGGCTACTTTCAAGATGAAGAACAGTAATAAAAGCCCTGTTCATTGATAATTTTCATTTTTTCTATGTATTGTGTGCGATGTTGTCCCATGCACATTTAATCCACATCTCTTTATTTTCTATTTTAGGGCCTCAAGAAGGCTCAATGCAAGTTTAGCCCTTCAATGTTAAATTTTATGGTCATATGTTACACTATTGTTTCGGGTAAGGGTGAATTTGGTACCTTTTAAAACGTTTAAACCCGCTGCATTTGTTTGCACCTGTCCTAAGTCAGAAACCTGATGTTCAGTAGTTGTCGTTTGTTGATGTGGTTCATAAGTGTTCTCGTTTCTCGTTTAGTATATATATTAGACCGTTGGTTTTCCCGTTTGAATGGTTTTGCACTGTTCATTTTGGGGCCCTTTGTAGTTTGCTGTTCGGTGTGGGCCAAGGCTCCGTGTTGAAGACCGTACTTTGACCTTTAATGTTTTTTTTTTTTACAAATTGTGACTTGGATGGAGAGTTATCTCGTTGGCACTCATACCACATCTTCTTATATGTATATGGTCTTTTTAAATGAATTTATGTCGGGAGATTGGGATTTCTAGCTTTCGTTTAACCCATGTCAGCTTTTTATGTGTATTTACAGAAAAGAGAGCCAGTTTTGTATTCTTTAATATACTGTAACAGTTTAATTTTCCATAATAAAAAGGGACAGTTTTTTCTATGTTCGGTAACATCGTATCATATCTAGACATCGGTAGGCATATAAAATTGCAAAACCACACATGACCGTTCATTAGTCTTTGTAGATCTATTCCAAGTCTT